ATTGCCGAAGTGAATTGATCCTGTTACCTCTTTCTCCAGCTCGTAGACGGTGTTGAAAAGAACCCAATCAGCTTCATCGACGTTGGAGAATTGATTCAGGACGACTCGGGCCCACGCCGGGTAAGACCCGTAAACATGAACAAACGACGGTGTGTCGGTCGCCTCTAGCTCAGGCAACCCCGGGAGCGAGACGCGAGGTTTGGCAAGAGGTACCTGGAGAAGTCCCCTGTTTACATGATAATACACGCTATTCACAGCACAAGACTGCGTGAAAAACACCACCGCAAGAACCCCACACAGCTTCGCCACATCAAGTACCCAAGGCAGAAAACCGTCGTAGATAACGGCTCTGACAGGGCGACTTGAATCAGCAAGTCGCTTTATCAGATCTGCCAGAGTTTGGGAGCCCACTTTTTGCAGAGATTTAAGGTAAGCCTCGGTGCTCTCAGCTGCCATCCAACCACCTTCGTCAAAGCCATCGGATATGGTTTCAACGGCGATATGGCTGGTGGGGTCGGCCTTCGTGGAGTTGGATATGGAGATGGTATTCACTAGGGTGGCGTCAACGCCTTTGTAGACAAGGCGTTTGGCGAATTGAAGCATGGGATTGATGTGGCCTTGGGAAGGATAAGGAAGGATGAGAACATGAGGTTTTTTCACCATTTTTCCTGTTTATTTCTTACTATGATTCTGCTTGGGACTTCGGAGAGAACTTTATAGCAAAGGGGTGCCACAGTTTGACTTTCGTTACTTAACAAAGTGCCTATTTAAGTCCCTCAAACTGCCATTTGTATAAGTAAGTTGGTGATAAAAATTTTTTTTTTTTTGCAAGTTAAATATCCTGAATTTAAATCTAATAATATGGAAATAAGATGAGATAAAAAATAAATGATAATTGATTTTTATTATGAAACCAAAGTAATAAAAAAGTCCCTCTAATTAAAGATCTCTCGACTATTTAGAGGTTAAGATTTTTAAATTTAAATTAAAAAAATTATTTTTTTGATCAAGTTTTACAAGAGTGGGTTTTGAACCCACCATGGGGAGGGAGATAATGCACCTGCAAGAGCAGCTCGAAGGCCACTTAGCCCGAAGGACAGGTGCTAAATTTAAATTTTTAAATATGTGATGAAGTAGTAAAAAATTGAAATTGTATTTTATTATATAATTAATTATATAAAATATCAAAAACAAAAGTACCTATTTAAGTTAAGGTAGTGTTGGTTACCTAATTTCGAGTTTCATTTAAGGGAAAATATTTTACCGAACATTCCGAAAATATCATGTTTTTGAATTAATACCTTTAAAAATTAGACTTTATAACTGATTCCAGTGCAGTTTGTCTACATTATATCCTTTTAGTAATTATTAAATATAATAGTATTAATTTTAACTAATAAGTAAAAAAGTTATTTTAAACATATATTAATTTGTTATAAATGGATATCTAATTTTCATATCAATTAAATTTTTTTGAAATAATTAAATACAACAGAGTAATTTATTAAATCTGTACTTTTTATATATATATATATATCTTTGCATTTATAACCATTATTATTATATCTCTACCCAAATTTATCTCCTCTCTC